TGAAAGCCGAAGATTTCACCGCAGGACTCAGCAGCATGGGGAAACAGTCGACGCATTTTTCACGGAGCTTCGAAACCTAATGAGACGCTGCAACTATAACAGCCCCGAGATAGAAGACCGCCTAGTGCGTGACAAGTTCGCAGTCGGCTTATTGGACAAGAAGCTATCTGACCAGCTGTGCCATTCCAGATGACTCACCGCTGACGAAGCTCTTTTACAAGCCTGCCAGTACGAGGATGCCAAGAAGGAGTGCGCTTCTCGTTTGGCGCAAGCTGCAGCAGCCTTGAACATCGACGCAACAAAGAAAACGACTGCGTCATCTGCTCCGTCGTCACACGCACGTAACTGGCAGCAGCATTTGGACAACGCAGTTTGTGGCAATTGTGAGCGTTCGGCGCATGCCTGCGTGGATTGTCCAGCTCGGAAGGCAACTTGCAATTTTTGTAGAAAGCGAGGCCACTTTGCACAGAAGTTTGCCGCGCGAAGAAGTGCAAGGAAAAGTTGGGCTCCGTCGAACTCTGCTCTGTTTATACGCAACGGGAAAGAGACGTTGAAGTAAGTGTCAATGGTTACGTGACAAGGTTCAAGGAAGACTCGATAGGAGACGTCACCGTCTTTCAGTCGTCGCTTCCAGGCGTTCCTTGCAAGCCTGATGCAGTAAAAGGGCAGCTCATCGGCCCGGGGAACCAGCCAGCACTTTCCAAGCTACATTGGCGTGGAAGGACAAGCGCACCGTCCAACAGCTCTACGTCATGTGGGCTCAGACTACACTGCTTCTAGGGCTACCTGTGAAAGAAGCTCTCAGCATGGTAAAGTTTGTGGACACCACCTTTGCAGAGTCCAGAGAAACGCACGAATGTGTCCCATTTTCCGACGCTTGTGACAGGTGCGTTCCACCTCCCGACGCCCATATTTTTAAGGGACTGGGCAAACTCCAAGACAAGTACACCATTCGTGGTGTACTTGTCTTGGAGTTTGCTTCTTACCTACTGGGACTCTCCGGGCATCGCGGGAGTTTCTCCTGCCATGTTGCTGATGGGTCGGCGGTTACAGATACGTCTTCCTGCACTGCCGCAGCGACTCGCACCAGTTCAGCCAAGCCACGAGAGGTTCTGGGCTCAAGACTCCAGGAATAAGGTCCGGCAGGCGAGAGACTTCAATCGCCACCACAACGCTAACTCTCTTGGTCCTCTCAAGCTGGGTGACAGCGTCTGGGTCACGTATGCCAGCTGTCAAGCACGCATCCAGAGCCCGGCCCAACGACCACTGTCATACATCGCAGAGACCTCGAAGGGAATCCTGCAGCCCAAACGCTGGCACCTGGTGCCCTTCTCGCCGCCCGTTATGGCGAGGGAGTCCATATCGTGCTTCCTGCTGCTGAGCAGTCTCCAGGACAACCACCTGAAGGTCGGCCTGGGGAGTTGTCAACTGTGCGGTGCTCTTCGCCCTCTCTGGATCATGCATCTTCCCCACAAGATGTCTCAAGATCACACTACGGATGTGCCACCAAGCCACCAAGACAGTTGGACTTGTAAACAACGCTTTCTTTTAAACTGTGTAAGCTCCAGGGGGAGATGTAGGGGTCACCATCCTGATAGTGTTTTCTAGATGCCCAAGAGATGGCGCCAGCGTGCATCAAGCAAGATGTAGATAAGTGTGTGCTATCATACACAGCGGGGGACTTTCGGCTCTTCATGCTCGGGAATAATAGTTGTGGGTTCGCCATGACACCCTCGTTTGCTTAGTCTTCCTGGCTGCTGCGTCGCTGACTACCCCAGAGCACCCTAGCTCTCAACACATGATGCAATAGTGCTTGAGATCCTTCGCCTGCTTAATACATTTTAGACGTTTGTATGTGCCACCGAAAAATAGTCTCTGGAAATGACAATCGACTGCTGTGTAGGCTCAGGTGTAAGAATTTCATTGATGGCGCCAGTACGGAAGCACCATAGCCGCTCCTGTGGCAAGCTGCCCAGTAGAAGTCTGGTGGACTCCTTACTGCCACTTGGCTGAGGCAGCTGTTGCATGCTGTCCACTGGATAGATCAACTTTTCGCTGAGCATTGGATGAATGATTTTAGCAACCTCCTCAGGCATCCGCTGAGTTCGGTGCTGTCGGCCTGTCTTAGCATGGCGCCATTTTACAGCGGAGCTGTTAAGGGCTAGTTTCCCCATAATCGTGTCCCCCGCAAAGAAATGTCGACACAAAACTCTGGTTGCCGCCTTCACTCATAGATGGCGGTAGCTGTCCAGAGTGTTGTGTTTGCCGATTGTCTGCTTGCCGCCGTCGCTCAAAGGTTGCGGCAACATTTCTTCAGAGGAAGAAGAGCGGGAACGGAACGAGCAGCGATGTGCGCAGAAGTGCAAATGATTTCGCATTCGCACTTCTTCGAAATCATTCGCACCTCTGCGCAAATCATTTCGCAATCGTCACGAGGTCATTCTCGCCTAAAGTTAAGGCCATTCACACTCTTGCAACCGAGTACGACCAAGAGAGACAAGACTTGTTGAAACCTCTTAAAATTTCTTAGGACGAGAGAATACACTGGCTCGCCGGCGCCATCTATGCGGTGACCCTGGAACTGCATTTCACAACAGCAAAGGTTTTGCGGGATTTCCGTGGTAAAATGTGCGTAATACTTATAAAAAAGGCTCGTTTATAACACTGAGAAAAATTTTTCGAGTGAAGAGAGAAGGGATAATGCGCGAGAGAAATAGAAAATATGCCGGACTGCCAAATTTATCCTGCTACTCATAGAAGGTGCCAGTGTGTCCTCTCGTTGTAAGAGGTTTCAAGGGTGAACGGGCCTTTACAATGCGCTGAGCGCTTCAGATTCCTTTGCAAAAGAAGAACAGATTGCTTGCTTGGAAAGCCACCGTCGAGAAGAGACGCCGCAGCGCCGCTGGTTTTTTTTCTTCACCAGAGTGGAAAGGCTGGAAGTTTTTTATACCAATGCTTCCACAGGATACAGGGGTCTCTTTCTTAGAGGCATTCTGGAGACTGAGCCATTCCATGATCCTGCTACAGGAGCCCTACATTACCCCATTGTGCAATCCTCTTACACGCTGCCATTACATGCTTGTGTCACATCCTCCAAATCATATTGCAGCGCCTGCTCTTTATGCATGCAGCTGGTTCGTGCTGCAGTCACCTGGCCTGATGAAACATGTTTCATCAATCATGGCACCTCTTCCTTCACCCTATGTGCCCTCCTCCCCCAACCTAAGTTTCAACCAATAAGAGGATGTGCTATAGAGCTGCTTACAGATGGATGCACACGATTTTATGATTCGGTGGTCTTTTAAGTGCTATCACATTTAAAAAAATGAAAGCCGTTTACAACTCCCTCTAACGTTGAATTAGAGCGCAGCTCTTGAGGAGGAGGGGAAAATACGGAGAGGGGCTTATGCCCCTCCTCCTCTCCTGCTCTCCCCCATTTAGGGAGAAATTTTCCGCTAAATTTAGGAGAAAAAATTTCCCGGTAAATTTTTGCCGCTAAATTTAGTGGGGAATTTTTCCCGCTAAATTTAGCGGGGGGAATTTTTTCCGCTAAATTTAGCGGGGAGTTTTTTCCGCTAAATTTAGCAAGAATTTTTTTCCGCTAAATTTAGCAAGGAAATTTTTCCACTTAATTTAGTGGGGACAATTTTCCGCTAAATGTAGCAAGGAAAGTGTTCTGCTAGATTTATCGGGGAATATTTTCCGCTAGGTTTAGTGGGGAAATTTTTCTGCTAAATTTAGCGGGGAAATTTTCTGCTAAATTTAGCGGGGAAAATTTTTCACTAAATCTAGCGGGGAAAATTTTCCGCTAAATTTAGCGGGGAAATTTACCCATCATGCACCGCGCAATTACGCCGACGTTGCTCAAGCCGGAAACGGGCGCCTAAGAGCTGCGCTCTAAAAAGGACGGTAACCGGTAGTTAGGAAACATCTGATGTATTCCTCCATTGCTCGACAGGGACGACTACGGAAAATCACAGGAAACTGACCTCTTTTAGCAGGTCTTATGGACGTCCTGAGACACAAGCAGCAAGTGGGTGGCGTCAAAATTTACCACAAGAGTGGGCTTCCTAAGAGCTGTGTTTTCTACTTCAGAGCAGTTAGAATCCAACCAAGCACACAAAAGATAATCCAGAAGGCACATAAAAACCAGGCATGATCTTGATTTTTAGTTACATGGCATTAATTGTTATTGATTAAAGTCCTTTTGTACAGTATATAGGGTCAGGAGCAGGTATGAACTCTCAATGATGCAGGCTATGAGGTCGAGGACTTAAAAGGGAAACATGTCCTATTGAGGAGCTGGACCAGATGTCTTGACATGATACTTGGGGAACATTTACAAGTACTATCATGTTGTAAAACTACTCTGGTAAAGAAAAATTGAAGAAAAATGAAGTCAAAGAGGTAAGGTATTAGAAGGAGAATGCCTCAAACCCAGCTTGCCTGTGCTTTTACTGTTGTCGTGAAATGGGAAAGCAAAAGATGCCAATTCGACTCTGACTGTGTTTACAGGTGCTTGTACCTGTCAACAAACACAGCCTTGTGTCAGTGTTTGTACATGTTTTGTCTTTTTCTTCTTGAAAGCCCTGGCCGAGTGTCGAGTGCCTACACTAGGTTCTTGTTTTGTACAATCTTTCATCTCTTTTGTACAAAAGTTAACCCACGAATGTTCTATCGTGTCTAACCGCTTAACAAACCATATGCATAATTGAATGAAGAATTTATGTATGGGAGTGAGTTCCCTAGATAACGGGGGTTAGCAAGAAGAGTGTGTTTCCTTTATACATATTACATATTCGCTCATCTTTTCAGCACCCATATCAATCCAAAATGATGTACGAAAGTCTGAAGCAACGAAATGTTCATAGCTAACATTACAAATTACAGACAACTCCAGATCATCAAGATGTTTAGGCATCTGGCTATTTTTTTTAGTTTGGGAGCCCAAAAGTATTGGTGTAAACGGTGAAGGTTCGACATGTTTGGCTGAAACCCACCAATAGCGGTCACTTCTTCCTCAATCCCGAAGTCGGAGATCCCATCCATTGCAGGGTCGCTGTAGAAGCTTGTCCACTTTGAGCTGGAGACAGCAGCCAGCACAGCACCCTGAAATGAAACCGTAATCAAATATTGCCATTATATTCACAGACCGTAGTATTACTTCAACAAATATGCTAGCAAAGATGAAGCATAGTACCCTGCAGGCAACATCCTTACCAAATCCAAAATTACTTCAGATCTGAAGCCTTTGCCTTCAATAGATCTAGAAATTTTTGACCTAAATGTGATATTCAATATAGGTAGTGTAAAAATGCCTAACTTGAAGCTGTAGTGGAAAAAAATGTTAATAAGATGGCACAAATAATTGGTATCTACATCTACCATAAATTCAGATTCCCAAAACATTTTGTCAGACTTTCACATGCTTGCAACTCATTTTCTCGCTAATTTCGACAACTCCATTTAACTCAAATGGGTAGTCCTAAAAAGCGATATTCACATTCTCATAAATAAATATGTACTGATGTTAATGTCCAAAACGAATAGTAAATATCCTTGCCAATGTATATAAAAGCGAGGTGAAGAAATGTAAGGCAAGATATTTTGAACGCAATCTTTTGAATATGTTAAAAGATAATACAAAAGAATTTTGGCCGGACTATTGGCCTCGAGATCAACCTAGAGGTGGCTCTACTGTCGCACTATCATCATCATCAAAGCGGGGATAGAAGAGCGGCCGCCCCATAGGCTCTCCATGTTTGCGCGCGAGACGGCATAGACTCTTGCGTTTATTTTGTCGCATACTATCGGTGGAAAAACAATTCTAGCGGAAAATGGTGCAGTACCGTTCGGTGCTTCAATAAACATTGAATCGTGTTACGAGCGTACGGCCTAAATTTAAATAATCACTAGTTTGGATGCGTTGTCTGCTCTAGGCAGACGTTGGGAAACATGGATCACCACGACGGATGCCTGTCTCCGGGTGAACTGCACTATTTATGTTAAATCTTTGCTTCTTTTAAAATAGGTGCAACGGTTCATCAGCGTGGGAATTCAACAAAACAATGAATTCCAACCTAGGTAACATAATACTGACACTGTGGGCTGTAAAATCAAAGGTTTAAAGCATTTTATTTAAATTTTAGCTTTTGTAGTAAGCACTGTGGGCTGTAAAATCAAAGGTTTAAAGCATTTTATTTAAATTTTAGCTTTTGTAGTAAGCACAGTGGGCTGTAAAATCGAAGGTTTAATGCATTTTATTTAAATTTTAGCTTTTTTAGTAAAATACATATTTAGCATGAGAAAAAGTCAGTGCTGTATCAGAAATTACAGTGTTATTGAGTTCCTCTGCAGCCAAAGTTTCTTTTACTATGCCATGGTGTGGGTAACTTTTCGGAGTCTGGACAATTCTACTACGTTGCGATGAGGAGAGAGTGCCTCTTCTAGTTAGGATTTGCAAACTGTTCGCCGACACGACAACTGAAACAAGTGAAACAAACTGTTCTAACATATCTGCCGTGATTGTAATAAACGAGTGTAACCGAGCAACGCAGCAACGTTTGTGTTATTAAATGCTCTTCTCGGTAGTGCGGGTTCACCCGCTTTAATTTTCTTGCTGAGGGCCGCAGGTGTCAAGAGGCTAATATTATAAATTTCTGGCTAAATAATCTTCTATCCAAACAAAGTGGACTCTGTAACTCCATCAAACGATTCGCACCACGACAATGACAGCATCGGCTGCAGCGACACCCTTTTACTGATGAAGGCTAGCGACCTTCACGAGACTTTTCAATCACGGTCCGCCCTCACGCATATCAAGACTCGGCAGTTCATCGATTAACCTTCAGAATATTCGAGTAATGAATTAATTGAGATATTTTTTCCCGTTTAATTAGAATCTTGTGCTGGATAAAGTCAGCAAAAAGTAAAAAGATGCCTGCTTTAATATTTATGACGTCTCTATTTCTTTAGTGATACAGGCTTGCACGGTAAACCACACCAGCTTGCTTGTGATTGTCACTGAGAGTGATTATACCGTCTAAATAATAACTTAAAAATTACTTCACTTTAAAAGGCTTCCCGTGTTTATATTTCTGTAGGCGTCACAACGTGAAGTTTAAAATGGGAATGCCTTATGGTGTTTATAACATAGTAAAGAAAAGAATATGACCTTTTAACCTCTTTCATGCAATCTGAACGGCGAAAAATCAACTAACGGATTTATCGATTGATTAGTCTATTACTTTAAATTCTAGCAGTTGGTCAGATTAATTTTATAATCAAACCAGAGCTCCAATCAGCATTCAATGTTTTATGAAAGCTATGGTTTGCGCAAGATAACAAAAATATGTGGGACCCAGCGGTGGTATACAAACCAACACACTAAGATTATGGACGGCTTAGTAATAATAGCTTTGCTGAATTTCCACGCCTGGGAAACAATAGAACACAACCTTTAGTAAGAAGAAATGACAACAAAAACATCAAATATTTGATAGTGTCAAGGACAGCCAGAAACGGGCTCGCGTCGTCGAGATCCATTCTTCAGAATGTGTGCTCGTAGCAGACGACGCACGGCGTGATCCCTGCTTTTGCATGTTTTCAATTTTGGCCGCACGGTGGCGACACGGTTCGATCTCGAGGCGAATAGCACCCAAAAGTGCATCGAAGTTACCAAAACTAACAGATAACGGTGGGAACGAGCTAGCGTTTGATAAAACAGCATCGATTTTGAATGAGTATTTCTGTTCAGTCTTCACACAGGAAACATTTCCTTTTCCTTCACTCTCTAGCTCTACGAATACAACAATGTAAGGTATAGACTTTACTCCCTCTGAGGTAGCCAAAGCCATTGACCGTTTACGCCGTCACTCAGCCCCAGGTAGTGATGGTATTTCACCAGGCTTTTTGCTCATAAACAAAGATATTATTTCGGTAATACTAGAGTGCTTGTTCTAGTCTTCGATTATAACATCAGACATACTACAAAATTGAAAAATTGCTAACATTATTCCAATCTTTAAATCTGGTAGCCCAAATCTTGCATCAAACTACAGACCCAAATCACTCAACATCATACCTTGCACAATTATGGAGCATATTATCTATTCTCAAAAAATTAACCACCTTGTTCAAAATAACCACCTACATTCAAGTCAACATGATTTTCGCAAACACCTCTCCTGTGAATCTCGTTTTTGGCTTTGTCTTTGACCCCTACGAAAACTTAAAAGCGTCATTTGCTACTCATGCGATTTTCATAGGCTTCGTCAAGGCGTTCGATACAGTACCTCACCAGCGTTTACTTCAGAAACTCTCGCAGCATAATATTGAAGAAAAAGAAATCAAATGGATCGCCTCATTTCTCCTGAATCGTGAGCAATCTGTGCATAGACATGACTTTAACTCTTTGCCTCAACCAGTTCAATCAGGGGTTCTCCAGGGTAGTGTTCTAGGCCCCTTACTCTTCCTAATTTACATAAATGACCGGCCATGTTCTGTTACTTCATCTATACACCTGATCGTGGATGACTGCGTCATTTATCGCCCTGTTAAAAACAGTGAAAATTTGTCTCTGGTACAGTTTGATTTTGATAATGTTTCTTGTCAGTGCAAAACATGGCAAATTAATATTAACATTTCAAAAACAAGAGTAATTACGTTTACCACAAAACTAATCTCCACAAGGCAAAGTATACACTGAACTCAATCAGCATAGAACAGGTGCCTTCTTACAAATATCTAGGAATAACAATGACCAAAAACCTAACCTAGATTTTTCACATCGAATCAGTACTAAAAAAAGACGGCACAAACTCTGGGCTTTTTAAGAAGAGATTTGCACCAAGCCTTTTACCAGAGTAAACTCTTAGCACATAAAACACTTGTCTGCTCATTATTAGAATATGGAAGTATCATATGGAACCCCCATCAAAGCTATTTAGTCAACAGTCAAGCGTCCTTACAAAAAAAAAAACGGCCCAATTCATTCGTTAGAAATATTCATCCATGACGAGTGTTTCACAACTCAAGTCAGAATTTAATCTTTCGCCTTTGTCAACATGTTGGTAACTATCTCGGTTGTGCTTTGTTCATAATATATACTACAACCTGTCACACCTAAACTCCATACACTGTCACCCGCCTTCATACATTTCTCAACAGTGCGATCCCATACTCAAAATTGAACTATATTACAATCACGGACTACCTACCAACATAAATCTCCACTTTCCCTGTGCATCAAAGACTCGAACTCGCTTCCTAAAAACATTTTAACTGTTAAGGACCCACTTTTATTTGTTTAAAACATGTTTACTGTGAACTGCCTACACAGTGCTGCTATCTAAACATTTAAAGTACACTAAGATAATTCATTAACTATTATAACTTCTCATGTAAAACATCATTCAGGTGTTCTTGAGAGTAATTAAACTTAAACTTGAACTTGAATGAGAAACAGTGAAGACTGACACATGTGCCGGTGCAAAGCAGTCAAGTCAGATGAGAGCATGGCACACGAGGTGCACCATTACGAATTTTAAACTTTATGTGAAAAAGAACTATGCTTCATCTCAGTTTCACACGTTAAATGCAGCATCTACAAGCACAAGATACTTGCATTTGATTGCAACTCGGCTGCATGACCATTTATGCAATGGGAGCACCAGTCAAACCCACTTGCTCGTGCTTGTGGGCATTGTGGTTTGTCCGTATTATAGTTAGACAAATTGTAGTGAAACCAAGGGAATAAGCAAAACAGGAGCGCACATCCGTATCAGAAAAAAGACTGAAAAATGAACAGGCTAGTGTGAAAGCCTGAATCTCTCAAGCAAAGTCAAAGGTCATGCCTGCCTGGGCAAGAGGGCAAGGAGCACAGTATAGAGATGCAAAAAGGTGGAAAAAAAAAGAAAACAACATAAAAGACAGAGAGTAACCGCGGCCGGGCAGCAAACCATGTCACGTCGGATTTTAGTTTTCAGGAATAGAAACCAGAAAGGCAGACACAATTAACAAGAAATTGACAAACATCCCTGGGGGTTCAACGGTATCGGCATTCATGAATATAAGATCCGAGAGAATGCATCAAGTGAGAGTGTATAAGAGAAGTTCCGCTATAATTCAGTGCAAATTAAATTGTTCGAACACATCTGCGTTTCTCTTGACGTCCCTTTAGTGACCATAGTGGCCCATTTCCAATGCCAAATATCTAGCGTAAAATACTTAACATGTGCCCATGAACTTTAATCTAGACGCGGGACCAAACGGGACCACGAAACCAGGACATCGCCGCCATCTACGATTGGCCAGCTCCGCACCGCTGACCAACAACAATGTGCCGGTCCCTCGGTTCCGCCTGGGCCCGCCGCGTTAAATAGGGTTCCAGGTCACAATAAGCATCCACCTGCTACTTTTGGAATTCCTGAAAACTAAGCAAAGGTCACATCAAGTGCCCACCCCAGACTTCTGAGCAAACCTAGCTAACCAAGGTGTTCCTCCTAGTTAGCTGCTTCTCCAATCACACCGATGCAAAGTGGTGAAGCTCCCCTGGCAGTGCCTCTTCTGCATTTTTGCTCTTGCAGCTAACAGGCAATAAACGTTTTACAAGTTTATTTCTCAATTCTGGGTGGATGCTTGCTCCGTATTTTAGGCAGCCTCAGATGAAGTATCGGAGGACTGAAACGAATTTAGAGTGCAGGATTCACCTTTAATTTCCGCCGTGCATTGAATTTCCTCAGCTCATCCACGGTTTCTTGGAGATGTACCCGGGGTGCACAGTGGTCCCGATCCTAGAAAAAAACGAGAAAAGGAATCAGCACGCCTGGACTGCCAGCTTATTTATAACGTCAGGATAGTAGTTCATGATATACAATGTAGAGGAATAGACAGGTGCAAGAAAAGTTTCTTGCAAAGAATTATAACTAAAGAAGTCGACACAAAAGATATTTTTATCCAGAATTTGGGGAGCAACTTACTTTTTTTCTATTTACAAAAGACGAATGACCATAAACTTCGGAAACTATTCTTACATTTAGGGAGTAATACATAAAGAAAAACTCCAATATTCATTTTATACATCCTAAACAAGATATAATAGTAGCAATCCTGCAAATTCCCACGGGATAACCTCTTCATCTTTCCAATAAACATGTTTTCTCTCTCTCAAAAGTACATATCATTTGTTTGAAAGAATAATGTCTATTTTCTTATGCAGAAACGTTTAAAATATTTATATCATATGCAAACCCAAAAGACATACCAAAACTTTTCTTGAGGTTGCTGTTCACATTTTTGCGTGGTGCATTTACAGTAAATGACATTATATGTTGGAGGATAAACCTTTAACAGATTAGTATCTAGAAAGAGTTGGACGCATTAGAGATTCAAATCCACTTATCATCATAAGCACTATTCTCCTAGCACTTGATTGCTTCAAGAAATGAAGCATGCTCCATATCATCACCCCTGTAAGTACCAATGAGCTACACGACATGACCACAAGCAGAAAAGCAATCATGCCGGTGTAGCAAGGTTGTGACACAGTGATCAGTAGGACTGAGCGAATATTAGAGCATTGGTTTCTAATAATACGTTATTGTATATTTTCTTTGAGATGAATTGCGATATTCGTATTTCTCTAAGTAGATTACAAAAAGTTAGCTCTATAAAGCGCGCTTCTTAGCGAGCACCGGTGTATTGCGGAGAAGCAACACCCGCGGAAGCGAGCTCCGTGGATGTTGCTTTTCCGCTTTGCAAAGGTGCTCGGGAAGAAGCACACTTGACGGGGCAAACCCGCCGTGATCAACACTTGGAAAAGTACAAATACCACAGTTGTGTGCTTAAGAGACAAGCACACTTTCAAAGCAGGATGGTGCAGGCGCTCATCTGGTGTATCTATTAGAAGGAAACTTTGTAAATGTTGATCGCTGAATATTGCAGCAAAGTTTCAAACTTAACTCTGGCTATAAATCAAGAGTATATGTAAGAAGAGATGCTTTAAGAATCTGTGCCGTGTTCATCAATTGTGATGGTCTTTCTGTTTTTCCAAGTTCGAAATTGAGAAAAGAATATTTACATAGAGCAAAATTTACAAATTTCCTCTATTATGTATATGCAGGTATCTCCGTAGGATTAATTTTGTGTCAGATCTGTCGTTTACTTATCATCCCAATGTAGACATCAGTTTTTCTGAGGCCACATTCCATAAATTTATCTTGATTAAAATTAATACTTACAATACAAATAACAAAAAAAAACGGAGGACAACCACACTTTTTATGTTAGTAAACAGAAGCACGCCGAAGACACGAAAAAAAATTTTGTGCCCAAAAATAAGCAATAAATGTTGCTAACTGAGAGAGTGTTGTTGTCTGTAAACGTCCCTCGTGTTTTTATTCCTTCCACTTAACTATTCACAATTACAACGTGCTTGCCTTAATCAGTCTATTAAAGTAAACTTAGCTTGCAAATGGATAAGTGGAACCTTTGGAACAACCTTCACAAGTTCAGCTGGGTTTTCGTTAAAGCAAGGTGTAACAGTAGTGAAAGGCTTTGAGAAACTATATGATATTTGATTCGAAAATATTTGGCCTAAACCATTTTTCGTTTCGAACTCAAAATCTGCTATTCACAAGTGCCTAGTGATCATTCATCTCACTGAATTGGAGCTGAGGTGAAATTGATATGAATTACTGTCTAGTTGGTGCATGCATCGCCTTTTTGAATACCCTAGGAACCTCTGCATTTTTTCTGCAGACTATACGAGCAACTCCCTACTTCTAACACAACGGGAGGATAGCAAAACTTTGATTTTCAAACTGTTGCTACATGCTGTAAAGCATCAGACATTCTAAATTTCATGTCACAAGTGGTGTGCTGTGGCATCAAAGGCGAAGGCAAAAAAGAGTAGCTGCTCAAATAACTTAATTCATTCGAGCAGTCCTGCAAGAAAAACATTTTTTAATGATGAACTCATTCTTCTGTGCTTTCAACAATCTGGCCAAGAACTCTGGAGATGGGGTATTTCAACAATCAATACAAATATCTTGCTTGTATGAAATCTCTGTTGTCCAACAGCATCCCTGGGTCCTTCATGTACCGTGCAGACTTATACTTTTTAACAAAGCCTTAGTGAATAAACAAAGTTGAAAGTTGGGGCAGTTTGTAGATGATGAATGCAAACAGAATGAGCAGAAATGAAGGCACGACATTAAGTGGTAAAAAATACCACCGTAAAATCTCGAGCAAGTGCCCACTCAAAATTTGGAGATAATCATGCAAAACTGGGGGATGGGCGCTTCTTAGGTGGACAACATGTAAAGGTAAGTCCTTTGTGTATTTTCCGATGGTTAAAAAATTGAGGGGTGGACATTTATTGTGGAATGGGCGGATGCTCGCTATTTTATGGTGGCACTCTGTGTGTTGTGGGTTCTTAGCCAGCCTTCGTTTTTTTCCTGTTCCTTCTAATGTTTTCACATTAGGGTTGTTGGTGTCAAACACCAAAAGGCGACCCAACTTACTTTCAGCCAGGGGTGATTGAGCAGTTCTTCGACGGTGTATCGGTCCCTGGGATCTAGGCAGAGCATCCTCTGGATTACATCCTTGCCGTATTCACTGATCTGATCCCACTGCCTACCAGTCAGCTGGAATGTCAAAGGCACAAAATTTACTACAACCATGTTGGAGTTGTATGAGAAAATGTCCCAATGTCAACGAGAGATTAAAAAAAAAGACAAAGAACCTTCTTTAAAATGTATTTTGCTTAGTGTAACATGGTTTCTTTTCTGTTCCTTTTTTAAGTTTGGAAGCAGGATTAGTTTAATTAACCTGTACTATATCACATGAACATAATTTGACAATACTAAAAAGAGGCAAATCACTGCTGTAATTTTTTTTTTAAATATCAAGTCGAAGCAAGAAGAAAGCAAAATTGTAGCATGCGGCAGATACTCTGCTGCCATCAGAAGAGTTTCTGAATGCACTGAGAATGACAAAATGTAAAAATATAGCACATGACAGTTAACTCCACTGCTGTCACAAGAGCTTCTGAGTGTGTTGAAAATGACAAGAGTAATTCCTTCGATGTGTCAACATAATACCAAACATCAAATCTGCTAAGAAATATTTATAAAAACATACACTACTATATACTACTCAAAGTTTTTGGCATGAAGCATATGATTCCTTTTGTTGCTGCAAATTGAGATGTACTGGTTGTCTAGGAGAAGAGAAAACCATGTTTCTTGAACCACAAAAATAAACTACTATGCATCACCCGACGCTCACTCTCCTCCCGAATCTAGTGCTACCATTGGGATAAGGTACAAAAGCTTCAGTACCAAAGGTCATCTAGATAAAAAGTTAAAAGCAAGTTTTTGCATTTTTTTATTGAGAGCTTGCAAATGCATGGAGACATAGACCATCTGCAGCCAAAAACCAGCCCCATTGTCTCATTGAAAATTGCTTGAGTTATAAGTTTTCATATAGATAATGGTATGTCCCAATATTTTGTCATGTCACCTCAGCCACTAGCACTACAATTGAGCAGAAATTTAGCGTTTGGTGAAGCATTGCATATTTTTGTGACACAAAGAAGCTCAATGATTTTTTCACCAAAACACATGTTGCTTTAGCTTTCTGAATAAAGTTTTTGCCCGCAATAAAATGCCCCTTTGAGCTGACAAAACTCTACCTATAAAAAATCTGATTAATTTTTGCATGCACCGATTCAGGCAGTAGATTCACACTTTCAGCCGATATGAGTACTCTTGTTGATTATCTGCTCTCAGTGATGTGATTGGCCTAAGCCATTTTGGAGCACCTTTTGGAGCAGCCAAAACAGTGTTTTGGAGCAGCAAATCTGGACTTTGGAGCAGCCAAGACAGTGTTTTGGAGCAGCAAAAGTGGCTTTTGGAGCAGCCAAAACAGTGTTTCAGAGCAGAAAAAGTGACTTTTGGAGCATATATTCTTAGAAAAATTAATATTTGTTTTAAGTGCTGGACAAACGAAGGCCACTTTGTGTTGTGTTGTGATGTGATGTGTTGGGGCGGAACTCGCTGCTTGTGTTTGTGGTGCTGAGACATCCCACAAGTACACAAAGCTGTAAGCGTTGCCGAAAAATTAAAAAAAACAACACTTGCTATCGTTTTACTGGTTCCTGACGTGGCAGATTTTTATAAAAAGTAAGCAAACCTAAAACAATGAATTTCAAGCGTCCCGGATGGTGCCTCTCGTGCAATCATGTTCACATGCACGTGAGGGCAACTTCGGGAGGCTTGCAGTTACACGTGATTCGCCGCGCGTGCGGAGACAACGGCTGTTCGACCGAAACCGAAACCATGGCACCAACTGGTTCCCAAAATAATACGCAAAATAGAACTGTCCAGCATACGACAATAAAAAGACCAGCGGCCTGTGCTTGCCAGGCCGGCAGGCGAGGTACAGGCTAAACACATAGGAAAAAGGAACCTGAGAGTATCGACGCAAGACATTACGAATCAAGGTCAAAAAGTTCTTGGAGCGCTTTGTGCAACGACTGAACTCGAGACAAACAAGCGCGCTGTGCAGGTTCAGCGTGCATACATTGCCTTCTTTGCTTTAGCTCGCTTCTCGTCATCAACTTTCTTTCGCGGCAGATTTTGCACGTACCGGGGTCCCTCTTGAAAGAAAGCCCATCGAGAGAAACCTAGGTAATCAAAACTTCGCCAACCATTAATTGAGTTAAAGAGGGATTTTTATAGCAGCGTATGATTTAAACAAGAGCAGGAATGTTGATGCGTTTCAGTTTAGAAAGCGCCATATCTGCAGCGACGTGGGGACGGCAACACACAACGTCGCGCGACCACGGCGATTGTGGTCGCGCGAGCGCTTCAGCTCACAAAGTAACTCTCGCCACGCAAAACATTGTTTTGTTTCACAGCATGAAGGCATGGCTGGAACCCCGCCACACTAACGTCGGAGCGTCCGCACACGCCCACGTCTATCGCTAAAAAAAAAATAAAAAAAATAAAAAAGCGCGAGACGAGATTTGCGAGACGACGAGAGCGCGAAACGCAAGACGACGGGAAAAATCATGCAAGGCCGAATAGACGATTGATGCAGGGTACTTTGTGTCGGGTGGCATCTTGTGCCACCTAGCTCATACATGCTCAATTATGGTAGTCAGTTTAGTTTCGTTCTTGAAAGGCGACCAAAATTGGTCCTTTGGCGCAGGCTTGGCGCAGATTAGCCATATTTCGGTGAAATGTAGCAGGATGTAGCAGGGTTAGCCCCTTGGCGCAGTTTTGCGCAATTGGCGCAGCAATCACATCACTGTGCTCTGTATATCATCATTTTTAGGTAGCTACATGATTCGTACAAGGCAGAGCCACCTGGGGCTCAGTGAAGTGCAGAGTCTGGATCAAAATAAATGTTTCCGATATTCCTGAGATACTCACGGTCGCGCAAGTAACCACACCTTCTTTCCTAGTTAGTTTCGTTCCCTATACTCTGCTGTAGGTTAAGAAAAGCGGGACAAGGATCTTCCTGAAAAGCACTCCACTCGTTTCCCATTAGCAGAGTGAATGCTGGAGGAGGTCAGTGCAGGGCTTTGTGGGAGGAGCGTGTTTTGCTTTTCTCAGCCTGCAACAGAGTGCACCACAGTTCGGTACACACGGCCTACTTCAGATTGGCAATTGGTGCCAAAATCCTAGACTTTTGGCTACTTGTTGCGCATCCGTATTCAACTCTCCAAGAAAAAAGTTAAGGCCCAGTTTGGGAAGCGTCGCAACACCAACGCCTTGGTTTTAATGCAATAATGAACTATGGCACGAGTTCCACCATGACCGAATCATAGGTTAAAAACTTAAAGTTCACTCTAACTGCCCATTTTCAATCATTTTCAGAGGAAGCTCCCAATACAACTAATAAAGCTGGAACCAGATAGTGTTGAATAGCTTTCTTAAATCTAAAGAGGTAATTCATCTGTCCTGTCACTCTGTTGAGAAATATTTTGCTCCACTCTCATTCAGTACATCATCCGTGTACCCATCACATCATAACGAGCATCACGCACACAGCTATAAGTATGACTCTGACGGGCAGAACACATTCCCAGGTAGCGCGACATATTACGAATGTCCATAGGACATCCACAAAATGTAAGAATATCCTGAGGACATCCAAAAAACGTGTGTGCTGCCGGGATTACTAACCAAGGCTGGGATCAATAAAAACAAACAAACAGACAGCCCACTAACATTGAGCTTTCCACTGCAGATCGCTTCGTGAAGCCTCTCCTTTGTTCCGAGAAATGGAAGTGTCCCTGTGAGCAAGACGTAGAGCAAGACACCGCAGCTCCAGACGTCAGCCGGCTTTCCGTACGGCTTGCGCTGGACCACCTCGGGAGCCATGAAGTGGGGCGTACCTATCCGGCCTAAGGGCACAGGTAAGGTGGGAAATGCATTATTTCAAACTGTGTCAATTTGCGGGCCGCATAACAAGAAAAAAAGAATGAAAAAGAAAATAAATTATGCTTCTAGAGAGACTGACAGCCTTAGCCATATGACGATTTCGACAGAACCACAGAAATGTGCCATACAAGCCCCGACTGGTCTGTTGGGGTTTTAAAAGATTTTTAATTTGCCCTAGCTAAAACTCTGACATTTCTGTATGAGGTTCACACTCCTAGCTTACTGTAAGATACCGAGCATGCAATAAGCACCAACCAGCTACTTCTGAAATATTCTAAATGTAGACGAAGGACGTATTAGGTCCCCACCGCAGCAGACGTTTGAACCCATCGAGCTAACTGAAATTGCTCCTCCACATCACCTCTTCTCTGAGAAGCCAATATACTAAAGCAGTAAAGCTTTACGTGCATGCATTGGTGTGAAGCAGTGAAGCTTGGCACAAGAGCGCCTGTGCAAAGCATACTTGACGAGAGCTGCGTTACTGCTTTAACAATGAAGCATTCTGCCAGACCCCTGCACTGCATCTATACCATACCGTCAGATCAAATAAGGGCCTACCATACCATGTGTCACTTCAGCTTTTCTGCTCTTGGACCAAACCTGCTCATCTTTTCCTGATTATCTCCAATGTTAGTGTGGGCACTTGCTCGGTATGTTACCGTAGTTCTTAAAGACCGACGTACGCTTCGTGCTTTCCACTTTCGTCTGCCTCCTTCTTTCCCGTATCCTCTCCACTTTTTACCTTACCCAAACTTGACGTTCCCTGTAGCTTAGGAAAGGGGGAGCACTAAGAGGATAACCTCCCTTGCAGACGACCGAAGTTCTACATTACCCTTTAAGCTCAAAATGCCGTTTTCTCGCCTGCTGAAAATGATAGGAAAAGCTATAGTAAAATAAAATATTACACCAAAGCTTCCAGCTCCATGACCGATGAACAACTTGAAAGGTACTTCATTACTGCTGATTAGACTTTAGAGTTCCCAATTTTGATAAAGTAAGGAAAATACAAACAGAATGTCAATGTGTGATCCCTTTCTCTTGTACTATGAGCTGGTTCGTAGAAGCCAACTTGTCACCCATTGTTACCACTCACTAGTCTACCCCAAACGACCATTAGTTTGCTTATAAACAGGGTTCCGCGTTTTCGGTTTTTATTTTTTCGAAATTCGGCATACTTTTTTCGGTGTTTATTTTAAAATTCAGTTTTCGGTTTTCTTCGGCGCATATTTATGCGCACAAAAGTTTATCGGCTTTTTTCGGTGAATATAAAATAAACACCAACGAACGCCTGATCAGATGATCCTTTTTTTTCTGGCATTTGTGATCCCTCAAAGAATAATGGCACAGATATATTGAAAAAGAAATGGACACTTTATATGGCAAATGTGTGCAACTGTAAAAGAATTAAGAAAAAAAACACAGAAGTACAAACAAGTCAGATATGAAGCTTATGCCCCAGAAAATATGGAACTTCACCTTCTGTATATCAGGATGAAGTGATCTTATACTACACACATGTACTTTCTCAGGTTCTTCTCCTTGATCCGCACTCTTTCTTTCCTGTTAATGTGACCCTGAGCTCCGAGAATGCCCTCTCAATGCTAACACTGGATACTGGCAGGCTGAGGAGATGAAGCACTGCCTGAGCCAAAATCGGCCAATCAACCAATTGTGACTGGCACTGACCGCCAAAAGAGACATGGGGGTACGTTTTGAAGCACAACATAACATGCAGAGCTTGCGGCAAGTCAGCCTTTTCTTACAACGAGTACATGGTGAAGTCATGGGGAATTTCGGACTTCACGTTCCGATCGATCATGCGCACATTAAACCAAAACGTTGTGATGGCATCCGTGTATCCCATACATTCAGACACATTTCCATAGACACTGTCGTTCCACTTTTTCGCCACGGCTCTGCGGTACGACTGGAAGGTTAAAGTGATCTTTTCCGGTTAAAACAGAATTTTAGAAAATAGATTCGACGTACTTTTATCGGTTTGTAACGGTTTAAATTGAAAATGCCAAACCTAAAAACTGAGCTTTTTCGGTTAAAACTGAATTTCCGAAAATGAATTCGGCATACTTTTATCGGTTTAAACCGAAAACTCCGAAACCTACTTATAAACCATAATTCAACAGTTCAATAGTAGCTTAATACACTTTGCTTATACCTCAGGAAGCAATAACACACAGTATATTTGAGATAATTTGAGCCAAATTCTTTACTTCTAATCAATTTCACTGATTCTCAATCATCATATTAGGCTGCTCTTGGTATCTGAGAGCATCTTTTAAATGTGACAGAAATTACAAGAGTACACATTTGTTTAAATTAAACTGTCCTAAAGTAATAATGCTTAAGATATTTCTCTTTTCTTAACCCGAGTTCACCCAAATCTTGCTTCAGAAATATTCTCTTCATACTTAAATAATAAACAATCAAGCAGTAATAGTTTGACCCTTTACTAGTTTAAAGTGGGTTATTTCCCCTGCTGCTTTTCTGCAGGTGCTATACGTCAACTATCTTGCGCTATGTTGTCACAGCTAGCGTAGCTTCCACAGCTCTGTTGTGCCACACTGCTGCAAGAGCATGTGGTTTGGTCTTGTGTCGCATTTGCATGTGCTCGCACAACTAGCTATAACAAAATTGGAGCACTGCAGAAGCTAGGCTAGCCTCCCCAATGTAGCACAAAAAATAGTGGATGTTGGGTATAGGTTAGGTGAAAGTTTGCTTTCTAAGAGAGAGTAAGGATAGACCAGCATGTCCAAATTAGAAAACATTCTGTATTTGATATTGTCTTCAAGTCAAACAGTAGTAGCATTTAAACATTTCCAATGTGTTTAGGTAATTTGTAATAGTTTTCAGTTTGTTTGGCAGGAAAGCTTAGCTTTGTTAGGTGTGCTTAGTATGACCCTGGTAGAGCTATGGGTTTACAAGAGAAGCTACAAACACTTTTATGTGTGAACTGCCAAATTTCTGGCTTGGCTATGACCATAATATAAGAAACGTAGCAAAGCTCATTCACCAAGAGGCAAAAGAGTTGCTTAGTTATAAATGTAGAAGCAACAAGGAGACTCGATTCCAGTTGTTTTGTGCAAGTACACGAAAACTTATACACTAACATCATCCACTACCCTCCCTCTATAGAATTGCAGGTGCAGTCTTACACACATGCAATAAACATGCAATATTCATGAAGTGTCATAATTTGCATTTGAGAAGTTCAGACATCTTTCCAAGGATGGTTAGATATACAAAATTATTCTATTCAATTGCTCTGACTATTCGACTTGTATGCTAGATAAACCCCCAAAAAACATGATTTTCGAATATCCATACATACATACTCCGGTGAGTTATCCCAAGCCGAGTTGCCATGATATCAGTGCAAAGTCACTCTTCTGCTTTGCATAGTAGATGTCAAAAGAAAAAGTGCACCATTTCAAATAGCATGTGCAACAAAAATAAGTTGTAATTGTTACAGCAAATTACAGGTTGGACAAAGGGCCCACCAACATACAGGTGCATGCACATGCTGGCATCTTGACAAAGAAGACCTGCTTTAGGAAATACATTAATACAAGATCATAATATTGCCGCGCGCAAGGCTGAGAAAGCAACGCTCGGTCACGGTCCTCCAGAAAGATCCCGTTTATTCATGTACCGCACGTAACTTCTATCATTTATCCCTGCTTTTGTTTTCTAGAAAGTGCGTGTTCATTCTCGCCCGATCACGCGACGCTCGAACCGCTTTCGCCGAATCTTCGAGATAGCGGAGCACTCTAGATAAGAGGCCGCCCGCGACCTTGTCGAGTCAGTTTCGCCTCAGCGTTCGACCTTGCTGCTTCGCCGCCTTCGACGCCCGCGACGCTCTGTTGTTATTTTTCTATTTCCTTTTATTTTTGGCACAAGTTCGCCACATTAAACGTCTATTTCTTTCTGTGTATTTATTGTTTCTTTTGGTCACCACCCGTGACATTTTGGTGGAGGTGCTGGGTACCGCATGCCCTTGCAGCGTTCCCCTCCCAGGACCCGCAGTGCGAGCCCGACTCCAAGCTCGCTGAGAAGACCACTCAGCGCGGAACCTGAAACTCGGACCAGCCGCCGCACCAAGGGAGAGGATCCGGAGTACGGTTTGCTGCTGGACAAACCCAAGCCGAAGAAGACAACGATGGACAACCAGTCGCAGGCCCCCACCGCTCCTGCCGTCGTCTACCTACCCGTCGCTCCTCGGACACCGGCTCCATTCCACGGCGAAAGCCACGAAGACATCGACGACTGGGTACAACAGTACGAACGAGTGGCCCGTCATAACGGATGGACACCGGAACAGTGTCTGCAAAACGCTTACTTCGCCTTGGAAGCCACCGCCCGGAACTGGTTCGAGAACCACGAAGCTTCGATCACTTCCTGGGAGCAACTCAAGGCTGAGTTGCGAAGAACGTTCATGAGCGAACACCGAAGAGAACGCGCGGAAGAGCTTCTTCAAGCGAGGATTCAAGGCCCTAACGAGAGCATCGTTAGCTTCGTGGAAGATGTCCTGCGACTGAGCAACCGCGCCGATCCCGAAGCATCCGAAGCAAAGAAGCTCAGAGTCTTGATGCGTGGCGTCAAGGAAAGCATTTTCGGTGGTCTTGTGCGGAGCCCGCCTACCACCGTCGAAGGCTTCATGACGGAGGCCACCAACATCGAACGTGCCCTTCTAGCACGAGCCACCCACTATCACCGAGTTCCCGGCGTCGGTTCCTTTTCGCCTTCCGGCTGCAACACCGCGGACATCCGCGAGATGATCCGAGACGTCGTCCGGGAAGAGATCAAGAAACTTCTACCTGCCGCCGCAAGCCCAGCCTCGCCCTCAATCGCCGAGATTGTCAGGGAAGAAGTCCAGCAAGCGCTGCAGCCTGAGGTTGTCGTCAGCACCGCTCCGGAACCACCGACGTTGAGTTACGCCGCAGTGGCC